CTCTGGAAAAAGTCCCTCCTTTTTTATGATCATGTTTAATGTGGCTTGTAGAGACATTTCTCTCCTATTCCATCCCCTCCGCCTCTTCTCCCTGAGACAAATGGAGGACATTCATGGACTTGTACCCCATGGTGCAGGACAATAATGCAGTTTCTGAGCACAGTCACTTGAAGGAAATCATGAGTTGGTCGGCTTCCTCCACACACACCCATAAGCAGAAGCAGCAGCCAGCTTGCAGCTGCAGCCCTTCGCCTACCTAGTAGCCTACTCTCCCGAATGGACGACCGGGCACTGCTTGCACCAATGGCGTTCAGGCTGGGAGAGCTGGCTACCCACAACCTAGCTCTCCCTCCTTACTCTGAGGGTCCCCCTTTTTTCCCTCCAGTCAAGACAATCTCATCTGAAAAAGTGGCTTTTGCCCACAAAAGCTCATATATATATATATATATATATAGTCTCTAAGGTGCCATAGAACTACTCTTTTTAAAAAAGTTGTTTGTATCTATTGTTAATCTCTAAGAAAGGTGCCACAGAACTACTCTTTTTTAAAAAGTTTTTTGAAAAGTGTGATACAGAATAATAGCAAAAAAACCAAAATCCCCAAATCCACCTCAGATTGGGACAGATCAAAGCAAGACCTGTGATACATCTAGGTACTTGAAAAGCCATACAGAAATGGATTTTAATATAACCCAGTCAAATTTAAGGCGCATCTCTTTATTTATAACAAGAATAAACAACAGGACTTGGAGTCCATCTGGGACCAACAGTGTTGCTCTTCATAGTGTCTTCTTTCTAAGTACGCTCACATCAGCTTCTTCCATCTGCTTGGAATCTGACCTTAGCTGCCAGGCCAGACATTCATTTTCTTGCCCAGGGATGCTCCTATGTAAGATGATATCTCTTTTGCCATTGAGCATGATTTCTATTTGCCCAGCTTTCTTTCCACTCTGATTTGCTGACTTTCATGGTTGATATTTGAATAGCAAGAAATACAAAGGGTTTTTTTTTTATATTTGCAAATCAGTTTACACACCCTGATTTTGAAAAAGGATAAAAATTAGAAGGGGATAATTAACGCATTGCATTTTAATACAACTAGCATCATTCTGGAATTCCAAAAATGATAAAATTGCCAAGACTAGTATATGCAGGCACCTGCCTGAAACTGGTTACACAATTATTTTCCCAATTATATTCCTATTTATTTGTAAGTAGTTATGGATATTCAGACATCGGGGTCATCAAGTCCCAATTTAAAATAAAACCAGCACAAATCCTCTCCTTGCCTCATTTTATTTCTTCAAATAAGAGAACTATATGGGCCTAGGATTAATTTAGTAATTCTTGTAACCAATTGTTCCCTCCTAAGAAAAAGGAACAGGAAACCACATGAGGTATTAAAAAGCCCACATAAATGGTGGGCTCAGCCTGCCGTGTAAGGAAATATGCTGGGAGCAAGCCTAGCACTCCCTTTGATGGAGATCATTTCTGGCCAGGCTGGGAGGCAGCCCAGCTGGTGATGTCCACTGCAAGGTGGGCTGCTCACTGCCATGTACCTGAGCTCCTGGCTGTGCCAGGTGCAGTCACAGCTGGCAGAGCCCCCAGGCAGGGCTTTACACCTGCAGCCCTACAGGCACCTCCAACCTCCGCCCTCCCCGCTGCACCTGGGGAAAAGCGGAACACCCCGCTCTCACTACCTTGATCTGCGCATGCGCCTCGCTTCATTCCTTCCCCCTCCTTCCTTTTTTCACCTCCTTGCCTTGGCGCGCAACGGGCCGTTCCTGTACACCACGTGACCGGAAGTAAGGCTGCTTCACTGACAGAGCAACCGTTACCAAGGGCCTGGTAACTACGAGAAAAACTCTTGGGGCGGAGGAGGAGGAAAAGGAGGAGGGGGGGCGAACAC